CGAGCATCAGTGCGTCTGCCTGTGCCGTCAGCACTCGTCGCTCATGGGTGAGCAATCATGTCCAGGTCATCCCGCGCCCGGAACAGCGAGTGCCACGAGGCACATAGCATAACATATTTGCACATTTTTCACTCGCATGATTTAATATATAACATATATATTATACGTATTATATATGATTATATTAAATATATATAATGATTATAGATATAATATATAATATATATCAAGAGCTATAATATTAATATTAATAATAGTGATTATTAGCTCTTGATATATATTAATATATTATATAAATTGAAGTGCAGCATATAAGTGCCGCGTGGAGTTGAATTGTGTTCGCCTGTGGAGTGTTTTGCAAGTAAACAAAAACAGGTAATATTCCTTATTTTGAGAAGGCAATTACTGATTTTTGGAATCTGATGTTAGTACTCATCGTTGTGTGGGTACCCATTTCATCTACATATAATTCCATGACTTCAATTTAGATGTTTGCTTCTCTCATAATACGAGTCAACGAATCAGAGCAGTGGGCTCGCGGCAACATGCCGAGGGGATTTTTAGCGCGTACAAAAGGTGAAAGTGAACAACGCTTGAATACGGCATGCATTAGAAAGATGTCAACAACTCGTGGTTCATTTATCTGCGTTGCCATTCTGATACACGCGATAGTGTGGTTCGGGCCCTAGGTGAATCAATGGCATTCTATGGATGAGTTTGCCAAACTGGTGCTATTTCGTCCATTTTATAAAAACCTGTTTTTATTAACAACATTTATTTTCGTGCTACTTAAGGCGACTCACTATATACCATTCTTCCTTTTGACTCTACATTGCCCTATATCCCACTGATGCTAAAGCTTCTAGGCTCATTAATTTTTTACCTAATTCTATTCAAATTTCAAAACCAGGAGTCTAACCTGATATGCCAGGTAACACTCACTGATAAACACGTTCCTCGTCTTTATCCTTTACAAAAATTATCAGGGACTTATCTTGCCAGCAGGTGGCGCAACACACCGGTTTTTAAGGGTTCATCGAATGCCCCATCCGCCTGTCTGTTAGTCTCTCGTGAAATTCTTATTCTCACACATAGGTTCTTTTTCACTTATCAATTGCTGACTTTTAGCAGAGAGTGTCTAGATCAGTCAGTGCAGCAGGGAGGCTGTCGAACATAGATGACGTCACGCCTGACATCATCAATGCATCTGTCAAAATATTGTGACAATATTATTCCAATGGAACTTACATAACCTACTTCTTTATGACTCATTTCGGGATACGCTTGCTAACATACCAATCGTTTCTACTTTTACATGTAGCTAGGGCTACATGTTGTGAAAGTGTATTTTAAACCTGAAAGTAGTATTATCAAGAGCGCATTAAGTATACGTATTACGGTATTAAGCATACTATAACACAGCATTCTTGGTATTATGTAATGCCTTCCGTCTCTAATATGTTAGTATGACGGATTTTTTTATACATTCGAAGCTATGAAACAATGTTATGTAATGTATATTGCATTTACCCCCGTGTGTTTCTTTTTGCATTTATCGTAGGGGGCATGTTATGTACAGTACCGGGAAACTCGCGGCAAAGGTGCGACCGAAGAAAATTTCTGGTGGCAAAGACGCCTGTGAAAGAGCGAGACAAAGCTGAAAGCTTTGGCCTCTAAATCCTTTGGCTTAGGACAAGAACTAACAGCGCGTTCAAACAAAGTTAATTTAAAAACCACGGCGACTTTATTGAAATATACAAAATTTAGTAAAATTTATAAATATTTTAATTTTATGCCCCAGACTCCCGGGCAAAGGTGAACCTGTTATGGCGGCAAGGTGGAATGTCATTTTTACTCCATGTAATATTGTGTGCAAAAATGTTTGCGTCCTCTTTCCAGTGTCTAAATCTGAACATCAATTCGGCGCGTACCCCATTATTGCCTAAAATACTGAAGGAAATGCCATGATATAGACGCTGTATACAATAAATTTAAGTCTAAGGAAAAGACACAGTTATGCCAATGTTACCGGAGTTTGGGTTAAAATGATGCAAGACAGACATAGGCCTACTTGCCTTACTGAGAGTACTAATTCAGCATCATAATGAAAATAATATGCATAATAATGAACATAATTTAGGCTATCAAATATGGCCGGGGCAAAGTGCGAACCCTGCTCCCACTTTGCCCATCGCACTTTGCCCCAAACACATTGAAGTTTCTAGACATTATAGGCGTTACGCTGTGCAGACAACTACGCAAAGAATGTCATCAGGCCATTATGGCACCACAGAGGCCTTAGATCGCAACAAAAATAGCCCTACATAAGAATTCCACAAGATCACAGCTGATTTAGCAGATGAATTCATTTTAAGAAATGATCCGTTAAACACAGTTAAAAACACAGACGTTCGTCCAAAAAAATGTACATAGGCTGTCATGCAAATGGCATCCATCAAAAACGATGGCATCATCAACTGCATGAGCTTCTAATGAATAACATACTCACAGATAGATGGCGCAAGGCATCAAACACTAGATTCTGCTGAGACAATTCCACTTTGCCCCGGTTTCCGCCTTTGCCCCGGTCTTCCCCTATCGGTTTACATGCACACGTTACATTTAAGCGAGTGTAAACATCGGGAACTTACTCGCTCTTCCTTTCCGTCACAAGACACACATACAGATATATATTGTTCAACTCTGCGAGTCGCTCTAGACGCGTAGCGCAGGTGTCTGTGCTGCAAAACCGACGCCGTTTGTTGAAATATGCGTAACATGAATTTAAATACCGTACGCTATGTGAGACGCGAGTTATACTATATATATGTATATTATATATATATATATAATATGTATATATATATATATATATATTATATATAATATACTATATATATACGTACTATATTTTTATTTTATGCGTTACGTTAAAAAGCTATCCATCGAAGCATTCGTTGCAGCATGAAGTGCACTAGTAATACAATAGTTACGCTGCCTGGTCGAAAAAGGCGCTTCTACATAGGAAGGTTGGTTCATGCAGATATTCTAAAACGCTTTCCCCTTCTCCTGTTAGAAACCAATGATTTCCATGTTTTAACTTTGCGGAGTCTCACTTACAACTGTAAATGTATTTATTTTATCTGTACCACATGTGAGCGCGTGTGTGCGTGGCGTGATGCTTCGGCGCATGTGGTATTTTATTTTGTTGTTCGTTTAACCGCAGCGTATTCGTCGCATATTCATCTCTCGGTAACGTGTTTGCGCTTTCAACATTTATTTTCTAATCACCCACATGTGTTTCATTGGTCCAATGGATTTCGGATTATTGACGTTGTTTTGCATTGTTATTTAAGTTGAATTGTCTTCATGACTGCATCGTTTTCATTTCTGTCGGCCACGCGTCCATCGTGCTTGCATTGTATTTTCTATATTGTAACTTTGGCACTGTTCTGCGTTTCATGCATACATTCTGCATACTCGTCCATTGTTTTAGCAAGAATACGATTATACTATTATAGAATGGCGCACATATACGTTAGCGTGTAACGACCAAGCGATAGATAATTGCTAAGTCCTATTTGTTAGAACAATCTCGGTGACAGTTGCTTGTAATAAACAATTAGAAACACAATTTGATTTGATTCAGCGCAAAACTGAATTGCATTTAGTTTATTTAAAGTTATCAAATCGCTCGGTCTCGATAAAATTATTATACAGCAATAATAAAGAACAGGCATTCATCTCAGACTGGAGCCGATACCTTCGATCTCATTGAGTGGCGTATTTTACACGCCGCTGAAATAAGCCAACTGTGACAAAAGCAAGGCCATTACATCATCATAATTATTTTTACATTGTACTAATCAAAACTAAATGGTATCATCCTCTATACATAATTACACTCGTTCTAGCGTTAAGTTAATCGTAACGCGAACCATTTATTTAAACACAAGATCGAGCAGTAGGAAAAAGGTATCGCGGGGATTGGGCACTGTGTAGCGGAATAAAATTAGAAAAATAGTTTTTATTCTGCCTTACTTCTTGCCAATGTTTCAATAATAAATGCTTATATGCAATAATGTCAACCTAAATTAAAATCAATTTAAGACAGGGTAAACTTTTTTCGGGGATAATCGCCATAATTTAGAGACTACTTTTCAATTCGCTCTGCTCCTGGTGCCACTATCAATTTTTCCATATAATATAAACCCTTGCGCTGTCCGCCGTATACCTCCACTGTGCGTACGGCTCCAGACACAACGTCGTTGACGCAACCGCCGAGCTCCACCACGATTGCGCCACCGCTGAAGCGGCCACGCCGATGCTTCCACCACGATGGCGCCACCGCCGAAGCTGCCCGACGCCGATGCTGTTCCACCACCGATGGCTGCCACTCGCCGAGCTGCCCAGCCGCCGAAGCTGCACCACCGATGCCCTACCAGCCCACACCCTCGCCGCATATAGACAACGTCGACGTCAGCGAAATCCCCAGACGGCCTCTCGGAATCATTAGTTTGTAACAGGGTCTTGGCTGTGCTGTTACTCAGTGTCCCCTCTCCTGTAAGTAGAGAATGCCTTATAAGCTACACGATTTCAGCTAAAGCAAGATGGAAAACGATTCTTGCTGTCACTAATTAAGCCTGTATCTATTACACAACGCAGATTATACTAGAATAGCCAGCAGGCCAGCATAATGCTAGAATTGTCGCAGTTATAAACATAGATACTGTCACGCTAATTTCTACGCGTTTTGCCAAGCGACATGTTAGATTAGCCTGAGCCCACCAGTAGAACAGCGGATGCGGATGCAAGCACGATTACCTGTATTTGTACTCGTATCGCGGCCTCTTCTTCGCCCGTCTCTGTGGCTTCGGCGTTAGTGTTCTCTGCTGAAACAGGGAGCCCGGTGGCACGGTACCGGTATCTGGAGAAGCGTCAGGCTGCTGGCTCCCTGTCTCCGTTTCCTCTTAGTCGCCGGTAGCGTATGGTCCGTATCTGGTTCGTGGTGAAGAACTCTGGGCTCCGGTCTGTGCTGGCGTCCACCAGTGCTGCCGCACTCCGAAGGATCCACCATCCGAAAGATCCACCTCAAATCGATCGCGCCCCGAGAGCATCCACCTCCAATCGATCCGCCTCCGCAGAGATCCACCTCCAACTGGAAGGCAGTCCACCACGACAGAGATCCCACCACCAGCTTCCGAAGCATCGCACCACCGATCCGGATTCCCAACCTTCCAATCTGGCCGCGCTTGATCTGGCCACCGTCCAACTCGGCAAGGATGCCACGCACTGATCTGATCTGCCTCCTCCGGTATGACCACTTCCTGCCATTGCCGTATCGAACACCGCCTTGCCTAGTCCGCCACTCACCTGAACCAGATAAATCGCGATTACAGAAAACAAAACAATCGATAGTAAAAAAAACTTGCAGATTATTTCTACGAGAAGTCAGCACTTCATTAACACGCGTACTTATGGAAACGTTCACTGCAGGAAAAATAGCCAAAATATGCATAATCTAATACATTATCAGTACTCGTTTCCCCGCATAAACGCATGCAGTCATGCGGCAAATGTAGACGTTACTCTGGGGTTGATGATGCGGCCGCCACGATGGCGCCACCTCTGACCGCCGCTCCGATCCAAGGACCTCCTCCCTGCTGTCCGTCCATCCAGCGACAGCAACACGAAGAGAGAGAATAAGTGCGAATAGGACTTCGATGGTGATCTGAAAGTCAAAAACAGCAGCGTAAAAAGTGCGTTTAAAGAGCAAGTACCACGAAACAAAGCAAAGAAAGGTATTAAAGACGGTACAAATGATTGTTAGGATCGCTGATTATTTCACAAAAAGCTGCTATGTACGATACATCTTTGAGTGCCGGTATTATATTATATATTCGCAACGCTTACATGACCACGTTAGTTTCTCACCTTGCAGCGGTAGTCCTAACCCCTCTGATGGAAGGAAATCTGATGAGTCCAAGATGGGACTGATGCCTGCAACCAAATAAGACATCGCCGCGCTTATATACACCACCGCCGCCTCCCCGTGACACACATTTCCCCTCGAAAAAAACTCATCCCCACCGACGTTACGCGAAAATTTCAGCGATCCTTTCAAAAATATTATCCGCTGCCTAAAAAACTGGGGCTTCCTATTGATCGCAGCGCCACCCTGCGGGCGGCGATGCTTGTGGCGGGCACTCGCGGCCGTCTGTATGAGCGAGGGGCGGGCGTTTCAGTGGTTGGCGGCCTTAGCAAGGCGGCGATGAAATTGGGACAGAGAACACGATGTGAGCCCGGCGTAAGCAACAGCTTACCGCTACGGATGCCGGTGAAAGAGTGTTTACCGTAGGATTAGAACAGCGGCAGCTGACCGGCCGACACGGATGTGCACGGCCCGCGAATACGTCGCGAACACTCCCATCCTAAACGTGACGGCGCGAAGCGGCTGGTGCCACGTCTAGGCCGACTACGCTACAATCACTGAGACGAATGTCCACTACGCGGTGAAGATGTCTGATTGCAGACCGTTATGGCTAGGAGTGGATTATGCGGCAGTGAAGTGCGCTGTACAGGTTTGCTCTAATATACTCATTAAATATAGTGCGCGTGCCGTGGTTTGCCCTCTTTCGCGTGTTTTTTTGCTTTGCTTCTGTCGTTTCTTTTTTCTCTTCCTGTCTTTCTTTATTTGTCACTCTTCTCCGCCTTCCCTCCTATTCATTTTAGTCTCCTCCCTCCATGTTACTTTTTTTCGTGGAATCTTTCGGTTTTTATATATGGCTCCTTTTATTATATGTTTCTTCTCCCCCCCCCCTCTCTCGGCTCTCGCGCCTCTTTCTTCTTTCTTTCTCCCTCTCTGTCCCCCTTTCTCTCCCTTCCTTTTTTGTTCTCCCTTCTCTCCTCCCTCGCCCCCCTCTCTCTCTGCCTATCTTTATATCTTCTCTCTCCGCTACCTGTGAGCCGACATGGCGTCACCACATTAACACATTACGTCTAGTTTGTTTCCTGCAGCGAATATAAAGTGCCCACACAGCAGCGTTGTGTGTGTGTGTGTGCTGGGTGTGTGTGGGTCGTCATGTGTTGTGCGGTGTGGTGTGTGTGGTGTGGCGTGTGTCTGTGTCTGTGTGATGTTGTGTGTGATGTGTTGTGTGTGTGTATTGTGATGGTGCTTATGTGTGTTGTGTGTTGTGTTGTGTGTTGTGTGCAGTGGGCTTACACTTCTGTCGTGCTGGCGTGTTGCCGTGTGTGCTGGTGTGTGTGTGTGTGTGTGCTGTGTGTGTGTGTGTATTAGTGTGAGTGTGTGTGTGAATCGTGCGTGTGTGTGGAGTGTGTGGTGTGCGTGTGTGTCGTGTGTGTGTGTGTGTGTGCTGTCGTGTGCGTGCGTCGTGTGCGTTGTTGTGGTATGTGTCGTGTGTATGGTGTCGTCGACTCCTCGCACGCACCTTCTTACCTGAGCTCTCAGCCTGCCTAGATGCTGGCTCTGCTCCGACGCAAGCCGCACTTAGCAGCGGGCAGCGATTTAACTAGAAATTGCGCGGATTCATGAATGTAAATCTGATTATCATAGTCTCATAGTAGTACAGTATAATAGTATAATAGTATTAGTAGTTCGTGCCGCTAGTATAGTATATAATAGTATTAGGGTAGTATGGTAGGTATAGCATATATAAGTAAAGATAATTTGATAATAGTCATTAGTATATAGTAGTATTAGAAGTATAGCAAGTTATGAGTTAGTGTATAGTATTATAGTAGCAAGGATATAGTTTATTGAGGAGGCAGAGGTAATTTTATGGAACGAAAGACGGTTTAGAAAGGCAGGTAGTTTAGAGGCAGGAGGTTTAGGAAGTAGTTAGGAGAGAGGAGGATTTTAGCAGAAGAAGAGGACGCGATTTTAGTCGAGGAGTGCAGGAAAGAGGTATTTATGAGAAGAGAGAGAGGTATTTTAGGCAGGAGCCGGAGTATTTTAGAGGAAGAAGGAAGTATTTTAGGAGAGAGGAGGAGCAAGGAGGAGGTATAATAGGAGGAGGAGAGGAATGTATTTGTGGATGCAGAGGAGGAGCTATTTTGATGAGTGAGGAGGAGGGAGCGTATTTAGGAAAAGAGGACGTTCGGCGAAGGAGCGAGGAGATTTAGGAGAGAGGAAGAGGTATTTAGATAGAAGAGCTAGGAGTATTTTAGAGAGCGAAGCGAGGTATTTTAGGAGAGGGAGACGTATTTTTAGATGCAGGAGGAGGTTTTGTTTAGGTAGGAGGAGGAGAGGAGGAAAAGGAAGGAAGTATTTGAGGAGGCAGGAGGAGGTATTTTAGGGAGAGAGAGGCAGAAAGTATGTAGGAGAGGAGGATGGTATTTAGGAGGAAGAGCTAGGAGGTATTTCTAATGCAGAGCGAGGGATTTTAGCGAGGAGTGAAAGGAGGTATTTTAGGATGAGGAGGAGGCTTTTTAAGGGCAGGCAGGAGAGGAAAAGAAGGAAGAGGTATTTTAGGAGGAGGAGAGGTATCTGAGGGAGGAGGCAGGAGGAGGTTTTTAGGAGAAGAGGTATTTATAGGCGGCGGCGCTCCATCTCGCAGGCGCCCCGCTCCCGGTTTAAGGAGGACGTTTCAATGTGGCGAAGGGATCTGCGTCTTATTTTATTGGGTTACTTGCGCGGTGACTGCCCTGTAATTACCTCGCCCTCACACTCCCCTGTGCTCCACGTATATCTGTACTTCTCCCTTCGCCCTGCATACGCGGCTCTCTCGCTACCGACAGGCACACCCACCAATGACTGCTACTTTCCTACTTGCACTGTCACCACTAACACTGTCAGCCCACTACTTTGGCGCGTGATTCGAGCATAACTACTATTAATTACGGTCGACAACCCGGCGGTTTGCGGGAGAATAATGTGCATCCGGATCTGGTTTTACGGCCAGTGTCGTAATTGCCAGGGCTCTGTGCGGTGAAGAGTGCGTGTATGAGGGAGAGAGCGATCGGCGAAAAACTGCCGTCAGCAACTATCGCGCATGTAACAACATTTATATCAAATTACGCGTGCGTGTAGGAATCTGTCTGTATCGTTTCTCTCTCTCTCTCTCTCTCTTTCTTTCTTTCCGTCTCTTTCTTCTCTATCTCTTACTCTCTCCGTCTGTCTCTCTCTCTCTCTCTTTCTTTGTGTTGCCTTGTTTTATCTCGTTCTCTCTCGTTCTCCTTCTTCTTCTCTCTCTCTCTTTAACACCATCTCTCTCAATCTTTCTGGCTGTCTGTTTCTTTCGCCTCTTTTTCGCTCTACCGCTCCCCACCAATTCTCTCTTCTATTTTTTGTATCTCTCTCTCTCCCTTCATCTCTGCCTCTGCCTTCTTCCGCCGATATTCTGTGTCTGCATGTCTATCTAACTGTCTGTCTGTCTGCCTATCTGTCTGGCTGTCTGTCTGTCTGTCTGCATGCCTAGCCGACTGCTCTTTCTTCTCTCTTTCTCTCTCTCTCTCTCTCTCTCTCTTCTCTCTCTCTCCTCTCCTCTCTCTCTCTCTCTCTCTCGCTCCTCTCTCTCTCTCTCTCTCTCTCTCGCTTCTCTCTCTCCTCTATCTCTCTCTCTCTCACTCTTACACCCTGTCTCTGCCTGTCCCCACCTATTCTATCTGTCGCTCTGTTTCTCTCCCTCGCATACAAACTCGATGTATAATTCATGAACAATTATTAAAACGCGACGAGGACGTTCCCGGCATTTCTTACATTTTCGTATACGGTTTGTTTACGGGAGTACCCGGAGCAACCATTAACCGTCGCCAAGGCTACGCCCCAAACAAGTACGCGAAATGTTGGGCGTTATGTAAATGACGTGTTCACGGGCTGTAATGTTATTCTATGTATGCACGCTATTCGCCGCATATATTGCTGTGCACGTAGCGTGTAGTTCTCTTCTCTCTCTCTCTCTCTCTCTCTCCTCTCTCTCCTTCTCTCTCTCTCTCTCTCTCTCTCTCTTCTCTCCTCTCTCTCTCTCTCGCTCTCTCTCTCTCTCTCTCTCTCTCTCTCTCTCTCTCTCTCTCTCTTCTCTGGCTCGCTCTCTCTCGTCCTCTCTCTCTCTCTCTCTCGTCTCTTACTCTCTCTCTTTCTCTTCTCTCTCTTTCTCTTCTCTCTCTCTTTCTTCTCTCTCTTCTCTCTCTTCTTCTTTCTCGTTCTCTCTCTTTCTCTTTTTTTTTCTCTCTCTTTCTTTCTTTCTCTCTCTTTTTTTCCTCGGTTTCTCCCACCCATTCCCCGGTCGCTGATCCTTCTTCTACCTAATCCCTCTTTATCAATCGCGCGCGCTCTCTCTCTCTCTCTCTCTCTCTTGCTCTCTCGCCCGGGAGTGGGGCAACAGCCCACAAACATGTCACACGCATGCGCACACTCACACTTACTAGCTGGTTCCCGTACGCATCACAACGCCAACACGCGCGCGCGCGCGTCTTTGCTCCGGTCAATGGAATGTGTATCCAACCGGCAGCCGTCTTTCTTCCTTCGTTCTTGGCACGCCCGCTAAACAAAAGAGCAACCCGTGTGTCGAGAGCAGACTAGAGCTACGAGAGATGGTTATCTTCCTTTTGCGGTTACACGCCGCATGCCTACTGCCATGCAGCCACCGCAGCAGCAGTAACAGCAGCAGCAGTAACAGCAGCAACAGCAGCAGTAGCAGCAGCAGCAGCAGTAGTAGTAACTCTAGTACTATAGCCCGCGTACAGTTGCCGCAGGGCTATAGAACATTTTATGCCAGGTTTCGTAACTGCACCTGTCCCCCAATGCTTCCACGAAAAATGGCTCACAAAACGCTAAATGATCGGGCTTTTTAACACTTATTTATCTACATAGACATCTCACCTATCTTTTTGAACACTTTCTACAACTTTACATCATGTATTTATGCATTTATTCCTCAAAGAGCTAGCACTACTTGCGTTTCGTCTTCAAATGCTGTTGTGTACACTCATGACGTCTCCCGAAATGTAATAGGCTGCATCATAGCTGCCCATGCGTTTTGTCTACATTTCGGGTGACGTCACGCGTGAATAAATGCATAAATACATGGTGTAAAATTGTGGAAAGTGTTCAAAAAGATAGGTGAGATGTCCATGTAGATAAATAAGTGTTAAAAAGCCCGATCATTTTGCGTTTTGTGAGCCATTTTTCGTGGAAGCATTGGGGGACAGGTGCAGTTACGAAACCTGGCACAAAATGTTCTATAGACCTGCGGCAACTATACGCACTCGTAACTATTTGTATCGGCTATAGTACTAAAGCTACAGCAGTAGTAGTGGTAGCAGTAGCAACTATAGTATCGGTCAGGCCATGCATTGTATTTGTGGAAGCGGTTCGCACTCATTCTCGCTCTCCCCCGCTCCCTCTTCCCCCCCCTCTCTCTCTCTCTCTCTCTCTCTCTCTCTCTCTCTGCACCTCCCTCTCTCCCACCCTCTCCTCTCTCTTCTCTCTTCTCTCTCTCTGTATGTGTGTGAACGCTGTGTGCCTAGTGCAGTCGCCCCCCCCCGCGCGTGTGCGTGCTCCGCCGTCTAGCGTGCGTTCGTCTTCGCTCGACCTGTGTGCGTGTGTCGTGTTGTCCTGTCCGCGACGTCACCGTGTGTGTGTGTAGTGGCCGCCTGCCGCTTGTGCCTTTACCAACTTGCTGGCATGCTGTGTGTCGCGCTGCGATTGTCCTGTGGTCGATGTACGTGTTCTGACTCTTTTTCCTATCCCTTTCTGCCTTCTCTTTTCTCTCTCCCTCCTCCTCTCTCTCCTCGCTCTCTCTCTTCTCTCTCTCTCTCTCTCTCTCTCTCTCTGCCTCCGCGTCTCCCCCATTCCTCTCTCTCTCTCTCTTTCTCTCTCTCTCTCATCCTCTCTCTTCTCTCTCTCCTCCTCCGCCTCTCTTTCTCTCTCTCTCTCCTTCTCTCTCTCCTCTCTCTCTCTCGCTTCTCGCTCTCTCTCTCTCATCTCTCTCATCTTCTCCTCTCTCTCTTCTCTCTCTCTCTACCTCTCTTTCTCTCTCTCTCTCAATCTCCCTCTCTCTCGCTCTCGCTCGCTCTCGCTCGCTCTCTCTCTCTCTCTCTCTCTCCTTCTCTTCTCTCTCTCTCTCTTGTTGTATTCCCTTCTCTCTTTCTCTCTCCCTCTCTCCCTCTTCTCTCGTTTAGGCTCTCCCCCATCTATCTCTTCCCTCTCTGTGTCGCCTCTCTTCCTCTCGGTTCTCTCTCTCTCTCTCTCTATTACCCCTCTCGCTCTCTCTGTAGTATCTCCCTCTCTCTCCCCTCTCTCTCTCTCTCTCTCTCTCTCTCCTCTCTCTCCTCTCTCTCTCGCTTACCTCTCCCTCCTCCTTATCTTCTTCCCTCTCGTGTGGTTCGCTCTCACTCTCGCTCTCCTTCTTTACCCTCTATCGCCTCTCTCATGTGATATCCCTCCCCTTCTCTCTCTTTCTTTTCTCTCTCTCTTCTTCTCTCTCATCACTCTTCTCTCTCTTTCTTTTCTCTCTCTCTCTCGTGGTGTAATCACTCCTCTCTCTCCCTCTCTCCCTCTCTCCCTCTT